TCTCTTCCCGAGCCTTATGATTCATGCTGTCGTTGAAATTCCCGGGCCAACGAAGCCGGGCTGGGCGGGGAATCCGCGGGCCCGGTTGCGGGTGGGCAGCGGTTCTGCTTTGACAGTGGCTGACGCCCGACCCGGAGAAGGGACTGAGGTCACTTGGTTTTTCTCCTTTTGTTGAGATGGGTTTGAATCTGATTTGCACTTTTCCTCCATCACTGTTAAGAGAGCTGTTATTTGTTCAGCAACAAAACATTTGAGGAAGTGGAGCCAAAGACAAGTGCTTGCCCCTCGTGCTCCGGGGCCGGGCTGCGTTTGCTGCGAACCCTGGGGTGGGCCCGGGGCCGGCATCTGGGGGGCCGGGTCAGCATAAGGCTCAGCGGGACCAGCGATCTGCTGGCCTACAGCTTGGGGGAGAATAGGACGCCCGGGCTCACCTGTTAGAAGGCTTCTCTGCCACCAAAGGGGCAGCTCGGTCTCTCTGGGTCTGGGGGCTTCTGCCCTTGTAAAGAGGCCCCGTGAAGACCCTTCAGACTCTCCAGGACTCTCTGAGGCCGGTGACACAGCCTCGGAGACTCCTCGGTGGCAGCCGCTGGTGTCCCGGGGCTGGGCTGGCCGCCGGCTCTCCCGGCCCACAGAGCTGCCCTGTGTCCTGCCTCGAACTCTCAGCTCCCGCACAGGGCTGGGCGTCTACCCCACCCGGAAAGTTCTGAATACAACCAGCCCGGGAAGTGACTCCAAGAATCTGAACATGCAAAGTCAGTCCAACAATTCAAATGGAAAGAAATCAGATCGTAACCCAAACTCGTTCACCTCCTCAGGTGCGGTGTCAGGAGAGGCCCGCTGCTCTGGCTGAGGCCACCGACCCCGTCCTGAGGAAGAGAGTCGGTAAGGAAGGGAGGTTCTCTCTCGGCCCCGTTATCTCTGGCTCCAGGAAGGGGTGGCCGAGATGGGCGGAGGCAAACTGCCCATGGCCCGTCTGACCCCCGGCCTTCACGGGCCTGTCCTGGGGCTGGGGGGCGGGGAAGGGCCGCATCTGGGAGTCACAAGTGTGTGTCAGATTCTCCCTGGGACACCGGACCTTTGGATTCGTGGGAGGCACTGTCAGGTGTTTGAATCCATGTTGGTTTTTTAATCTTTTATGTCAGAACTGATGCCTTCAAACTTGCTATTTGACGATTGTGTTCACTGGGTTTACTATGTCTTCATGTCACCTGTAAAGTTTGCAAAGTTTTATAATAAGTAACTGTCTGGAACGTGAAAAATCTCTTTTTTCTCGATGCCAGAGGGAACCCATGGCTGCAGAGAGTGGAGAGCGCGTGGAGGGCACCGGGGGGCACATGGAAGGCACGTGGAGGGCCTGGGGGAAGTCGTGCCTTCGGCTGGCACATGCACAACCCTGGGCGTGGCCCCACGTGGTCCTAACCGGGCCTCCCCTCTGCCTGGCTCTTCACAAGCGGGTGGAGAGGGTAAGGCCCTTCCTCTGCTTACAGACGGGGCACCGATCGGGGATAGCAGCTGCAGACCCGAGGGCACCAGGCTGACTCGGCACGTTCCTCCAGGGCCCGCACGCCTGGGGGTGTCCGTGAGCCCGAGGAAGTGGGGGGCCTGGGCATCTGTGGCTCGTGTCCCTGGTGAGCAGACATCTAGTTTTTATCAGAACTACAGAGGAGGACCCAGCGGAAGCCATGGAGACACATGATGTTGAACCTCCTGTCCTTCAGATTCCGAACATACTCTCCAAACTTCCTTCCTGGGAGAAGGAGGTGTTCTCACCAAGGCAGTGGCCAAGGTCAAGAGTGAGGTCAGTTCAGATGTGAAATGGGAGGGTCCAGGACAGACACTGGACCAGGCCCCATCCAGCTAACTTAGGCCCCCGAGGCTCGAACCGTTCTGGGCTACTAGTGGAGAGGCCCGGAAGGGAGAGGGGAGGCAGGCACAGCAGCGGTCAGCCTGGGTCGCTGGAGGACCCCGCGGGTGGGTTGCAGGGAGGGCTCAGGTGACAGCTGCGGGTTCTGCCCTGTGAGGAGGACCTCGCTCACGCACACTGTGTCTGCACACTTTGGAAGGGCTGTGTCCTGGCTCCCCGTGGAGGATTCCCGAATCCATCCCGAAGCTGGGGGCTAAGGTCCCAGAAGGGATCCGTCTTTGGGTCACCCCCGTGCAGAGCTTGGGCAGCTGGGCTTATGTAACTCGCTCCTGAAATAGCAGCGTCCCTGCCTCCCCAGGCACACCCCAGAGGCGGACACACAGGTTAGGCCACCTTCCGGGATTCCTGAGCTCGACGTGCACTCAGGGAGGCTTGGCCTTTCTGTCCAAGTGCGTCCAGAAGAGCCGGTCGGTCGGGCGCCCAAGATGCCACACCCCGGGCTGGGTGGGATAGGTTCCCACCCTGCGTGTCTCCCCAGCAGGGAAGCCAAGAGCCCGCGGGGGCCTGGATCTTCATACGGGGTGACTCAGACACGAGTCTGCAGCTCCAGCCTGCACGCGACGGAAATGTCAGGCTGTCAGGCAGGTTGCACTGTCTCGAAGCCCAGGGACAGCTGCAAACTTAGCAGCCTGCAGAGGAGAACCTGCCGTCCTGTGCCGAGTGTCAGGCGCCTGGCTGATCGCCTGCGGCCGGAGCAGCGCGCCACCTGCAGCAGAGGCGGGGGGGGGGGGGGGGGGGGGCTCCCAAGCTTGTGGGACCCGTGTATTGCAGATCACGTTGCGTCTCTAACAAACACGGTTAACAGGACGGATTTTACAGGTCATCAAAACGCCGTTTCATGTAAATGCAGTGAAATGCACATGTTATCCACCAGCATATGTGGGATTCTGGAAACTGGGGATCTGCCTGATTTACAGGACGGATTGTGATTCTGAATAGAAACTTTTAATGAATTCGGTATCTCCAGGTGGTAAAAATTAAACCACCTGGCCATTGATGCTACCAATTCTTCTCTTTTAAGAAAATGAAATGTGAGTTCTTTCCTCCAAAGTCTTAGAAGATGGGACCAATTTTTAAAAATAACCCCCTGCTTCCCAGATGCTGTCTGCTGGGCTCACTCTTGCTCCGGACAGGTGCCAGAGGCGCCCACTGAAGTGGTTTTAGAAGAAAGAGTATAAATCTTCTACATTTAAGAAATGGTCTCTGTTGCATAAGATGTAAGGTTCTGTAATGGTGGGAAAGCAGGAGGCTTTGAAAATATGAAAAGCCATAGGCCCTTTTCCCAGACACACACACACGCACACACACACAAACACATAATTTTGCGTAAAATTTCAAGGGGCTGACAATCCCCTTTGAACGCTGTTCAAGACCCCATGGTCACCTTCTCTTATTAACGTGAGGCTGTGTCCACCCAGCCTTGGGCGCGGTCTGCCCTTCCCGGGTTGAAGCCCAGCCCCCCCCCCGCCCCCCCTCCCCGGCTTCCTTCTCTGCTGCCCCGGCAGCGACCCGTCTTTCCAGGAGTGGGGGAAGGGCTGTCCGTGGGCGACGCCGGTGCCTGGGGGCAAACAGTCACAGCTGGCAGTGACTCGCCGGGGCCCTGCCCCCACCCCTGCACCCCTGCAGATGCTGCAGTGCGGGCTTTGCTCTGCGTCCACTTTGTCCGCTTGGACAACACCCTGAAATGGGGGCAGAGAGAGCGGCCTCTGCCCCAGGACCAGGGCACGGACGGCAGGTGCGAGCCGTCAGCCGTGATCCGGCCACTCAGGGCGCCACTCCACGTCTGGAACATGGGGACGCCGGCCAGGTCCCCGCCCCTGACTGCAGGGCCCTTCCCCCCGCCGCGCCGCCTCCGGCCCCGGGCACCTGGCGCTCTGGCCCGAAGCGCAAGACCTTGCTCGCCCCCCTGTGACCCCGGAGCCCCGAGCTGACGCACCAGCGAGTGCGCAGGGCGGTGCTGAGTCCGGCCTCGCTCGCGCGGCCCCGCACGCGGAAGCGCGCGCAGAGCTTCGCCCCGAGGCCGAGGCCGGTCTCCCCGGACCAGGCACGTGCGCGGGGCTCTCGGCCGCCTGCCGGGGACGCGCGCGCCCTCTCCACACCCGCGACCCCGGTCCTCCCCCCGCCCCCGCCCTCCCTTTCTTCCGCAGTGTGGACACGAGTCAACACAATGACACACAACGCAGTCAGATGTGTCTAAAAGTCAAAATCTGTGCGCTCTTTACTGTGTTAATTCATTTCTAAAAAAGTGTTTTCACATAGTTTGGGTACCTCTAAACCCTCCCACTGGTAGACAGTCATAAAATGACACTGCTCTAAATACATTATTTATCTCGTTTAAAAATTTACCACATGCCCATCCATAATGCATGCGGCGGGAGAACGCTCTTTAGCTTCCGGCCCAGCACCGAACCGCAGCTCAGACTCGCCTTGCACTGCCCTACTCCGCCCAGAGAGGCGGGGGCAGGTCAGCGCAGGGCCGAACCGTGCAGCGCCCCCCGCCCCCCCCAGAGCGGCCGTGGCCCCCCCCCGTGCCCCCCAGAGCGGCCATGGCACCCCCGCCACCCGCCCCCGCTCCCCGCCACCCCCCGGTCCCCGCCCCAGAGCGGCCATGGCCCCCCCCGTCCCCCCCGACCCCGCTACCCCCGAGCAGCAGTGGCCCCCCCGCCCCCCGCCTCCCCCGAGCGGCCATGGCCCCCCCGCCCCCGGCCCGGCCCCCCCGGAGCGGCCCGCAGGCCTCCACGCGGCCCGCAGGCCTGCTCCCCGTAACCGCTCAACATCAAAGGCTCACCCCGCAGACACGAGGCTTGCAGAGCAGTCGCAAAGGGAATTACGATCTTTTCGGAGGGAATATTCTACCCGCTCGCAGGGACTCTGCTCTGGGAGAAAGTGTCCCCGCCAAATTGGGTCATGAGCGGATGGAAAGAAATGTACGTGCACAGCCGTTTCTTTTCTTTCCCTATAGACGTTTTTAAGGTCGTCTTAAAATTGCTCTTCACTGAAAACGTCCCTGGGGACAATCTGTAAAACCCAATGATTAAAGTACTCTAAGCAACCAGGACTCGCTCCCAACGTGGGTTCAAACATCTCTGCCGTCTTTCCGGCGAGAGAAGGGGGCCGGCGGGGGCAGCAAGGCGGGGCGCGCCCCCCGAAGGACGCCGGGCGGGGCCGGGCTCGGCAGCGGGGAGGGCGCCGGTGGCTTGCGTCCTGCAGGACGTTCCCGGTGTCGGCCCCGTGGCTGAGCGGCGCGTCCGCGGCCGAACTCCTTGCGGAGACCACGGGGCACATGTTTTCTCCAAAAGCGGTCTTTCCTTCGAGCCGGGCCTCCGGCTCTGCCGCCCCAGAGCCGAGGGAGCGTTTCCTTCGGCCGAGGGTGGACGCTGCTGGGGCCGCTGGGGCCCTGGCTCAGGGTCCGGGACGCGGGACAGCAGCCCTGGCCGGGGGCACGGGGACCCCAGGGCGAGGATCCGGGGCTGTGCTGCCTGTGGGTGGAAATGTGGAGCTGGGGTGGGGGTGGGGGCGCCACAGCGACAGGGCAGGAAGGAAGCATGTGCCAAAGCTCCTTGTCTTCCTTCCTTCCTTCCTTCCTTCCTTCCTTCCTTCCTTCCTTCCTTCCTTTTCCTTTTTTTTTTTTTTTTAAAGAGAAGCCAGGTATTTAAGCTTTAAAATGAAATATAATTTTGAACTATTGTCAAGCCAGTAGGCCTGCGGGACAGGATTCCTAGCTTGGCCCCCAGAGCCCAGCCCTCATTTTAACGGGTGCCCCCCTGAGGGTTCTGCCGGGAGTTACCGTGAGGCTGGGGCCAGGCGCCCCTGAATTCTCTCTACATGTGGGGACATTTCTTCCCTGGTGGGGGAGGGACTGACGGATCCCCGGCTGAGCCACAGCACGGCCCTGGAGGCTCATTGCCTTTAAGACTCAAATACGAAGGGCATGTAAATATACATTTTTAAATATATGAAAAGACATACATTCATGTACATACATGTATGTGCTTATATGTATATAAATATCTACGCATCGCATTGCGCTACAGCTGGCCGTGTGCGAGGGGACAGGACCACCCCGGAGTCCTTCGCCCTCTCAGAGATGTCGCCAGATGCTCACGGGATTCTGTCCACATGGTGCAAGGACGGGCTGATGGGAGGGCTTCTGTCACGGATACTTAACAACGAGATAAGGTAGCCTCAACAAGCCCCTGATAAGGAGGGCCTGTGGAATTCCTCAGAATGCCTGGAATTCACTGTCAGGGCGACTGTCTTAACACAGGGCTCAGCTCTGCCTGGGTAGTGGGCAGCCTAGGTGGGGAGCACTGGCCTGGCGGCGGGGAGCACCGGCCTGGTGGGGGAGCACCACTTAGCCCCACTTGTGGCCACTCAGTGTGACCTTGCGGGCAAGGCAGTTCTGACCCTCACCTTTTTCTCATTTCTGAAATAAGGAGCCTGGACTGTTGTCTCCCCAGTCCCTGGGGTCTGAGAGGCCCATTGCCTGCCACGTGACCTTATGTAGATGCCGCAACTTTTGTGGGCTTTGATTTTTCTCCTCCGTGAGCCAGGTCTCTTACAGCTCATCAGGACAGTGAGGCCACGCTGCCGTGGACTCCCCGCCCTCCCAAGGTGCCACGTTGAACATGGTCTTGCCCCACACAGGGACTTGCTGCAGACCAAGTCTACCCTCCGGCACAGCAGTCAGGCTGCACAGAGTTTGAGATTTTACAATAACCACGAAATGCTGAACGCGCCTGAAAGCCTGGTGTTCTGAAGTGGTAACCGTATTCCAGTCCGGAGGGGTCACGTCTGGGGGCCGGGCTGTGAGAATCACGGTTCTTCTCAGAACAAACAATGACAGACTCGTTTGAGGATTTGAGAAGTGGGAGGCGTCAGGACCAGCCGGCTGCTCAGAGGCTGGGGGTCGGGTTGAGGTGCCGACCGTGAAATTGCTTCTGCTCGGCAGCTCTGTTCCTCCTGGAGATGTGGGTTACGATGGCCAGTTCAGGGGCCTGGTGGAGACTCTCCGGCCACCATCCTTGGACTTGAGGCTCTAAAATCCTGGTCTGGGGGCCCCCACGTACAGGAGGAGACCAGTGGAGACACTGACCTCCCCAGTCCTCAGAGCAGCTCAGGTTCACATCCATCTGACACCAAAGCTATTGGCCACCAGGCTCTTCTGCAACAGGGACGTTTAACGTTATCACGGAGTTACTGGCTGTTGGGAACCTCAGCGCCCCTTCAGCTCTAAGGTCCCACAGATATTCCTCAGGCGGGACACGGAGCCCAGAGTCCCATTCTCTTCTCCGTCCTGCTTCTCAGCTTCTGGTCAGTTTGCTTTTCTCCACATTTCTTGGTTCTAAAATTTGGGTCAGTCAGGGTTCAGCCAGAGAAACAGATCAGTAGGAAACACTTATGATGAAGGTAGTGTGAGGAGGTGGCCTGTGTGGTGTGGGGGGCAGGCCCTCGGTGCCGGGGAGGCAGGCCCTCGGCATAGCTGAAGCCTCGTCTCCCGGGCGGGGGTCTCTTCTTCCTCCGGGAGGCCTTGACATTTCTCTCCTGGCTTTTCAACGGGTTGGGGCAGGCCCACCCAGCTTATCTGGGGCCATCGTCCTGACTTAAAGTCACATTCTGTACACAAAGTCACGCAAACTTTGGTCACATTTACAAATGCTGCAACACTTACATGAATGTCTGGGTCACTGGCAACTGTAGCCTCACCTGGTGGACAATAAAACTGACCATCACGGTTCAGCCTTTGCCGACTTGGACCCATCTAGTCTCCTTAACCTGTAGGCAATCTCCAAGTAAAGACAGTCATGAAGCCACACTTGTGCTGACGTGACACAGCTCTCCTGTGTGCCACCCAGAATGCACTAACCCCCTTCTCCAGAAGCGGAGGTGAAGTTCCCGTGTGATGTTTACTCTTGTCTGGATATCCTGTATTTATACTGTGACATAAAGTTACTCTTTATCAATTCAGCTGTGTCAGATGATAAAAGAAGAAGAAAGGAAGAAACAAAAATATCTGGTCGGTATATACAAACGTATTCCTAACAAAATAAGGAATGGATACTCATGACAATTACAGTCCTTTCTGTAGCTGGTCACTAAGTCGTAGCTGGTGTTTGTCACTGCCTTCTTTGCCCAGCCGTTCTGTATTCCCTTTGTGCTCAGCAAACATCCCAGCTGCCCCTCAGCTTCTTTACCTGGCTTGGTCCTGAAGGGTCTTGGCCACTACGAGTGTCCTTGAATTGAGGGTCTGTATTCCAAACTCTTCCCTCCATCATGGAGCAGTGGTTCAGTGTCCCCTTGGTGGTCAGGGCCACTCACCCACGTCAGCACGGGAACCCACACTCTGTGCCTGTCAAGTCAACACGTGAAGGGCTCCAAGTGGCCGGGAGTCAGTTTAAGCTTCCAGATCAATGAAACCATTGTTATGTCTCCTGGTGGAAGGATTTCACCCTCTGGAACTAAGACCTCTAGACTGGGGACCCCAAGATTGCAGGGGCGGGAAGCAGTGGGTCACTAGGGCATGAAATAGGGCAGTCTCCTCTTTGTCTCACTGTTGATGAAGATAAACACATTGGAACTTTTCTTTGGAAGGCAAGAAACAGATGGGATTAACTAAAAATAATAAATACGTGGGCATTCCAAAACCCAAAAAAGTAACCAGAGTCCTTTGGACGTCTGCTTCCCTCCTTCTGAATTCAAGAGGGAGAGTGGCTCTCCTATTTCCAGCCACACATGCATATGGTGCTCATATCTCCTCAGTTACGTGCCTGCGTCCCAACTGGGTAATTTACATTTCACCCACTTAATATTTCATTCACTTATTCACTGACTCATTCACCCATACACTCATTCATTTTCTCATTCATTTATTCAACAAATATTTACTGAATAAAACCAGGTGCCAAGCTTGGTCCTAGGTGCAGGGGATGCCCCTGTGAAGAAAATACAACTATTTCTGCCTCACAGAGCTTATAGCCAAGTGCATCTTAAGAAGTAGCTCTTAAGTTCCCGACCCCTAGATCTTACAGTGACAGGAAGAGAAACTGTGATCTGCAGCTTCCCTTAGCAATGCCTCAATGTGCTTTCTTTGGAAGATGATGCAGTCAGCACTAAGGGTAAGGCTCAGTGCAGTGACGATCATGTTTCAGTGGAGATGTGTGATAGCCATTGTCCTTAAAGAACATGACAAAAGTTTAGATTTGAGAAGTTTCCCAAAGCTTTTCTTGGCACCTTGAGAACAAGAACGATACATTTTTACTGGGAATAAAGAAAATACATTAACCAAAGAAAAGAGAGAACCCATAGGATCTAATAGACATGAAAAAGCAGTTAACAAACTTGATGATAAGAATGTTTCGACATCTTGGAATAGGAGAGAAATTCCTCAAGTTGATAAAGAGAATCTATGAAAAATCTAGAATAAACATCCTATTTATTGTAAGATAATAATTATTTTCTCTTGAGATTGGGAACAAGGATGTCCTCACCACTCTCTTCAACATTTTGTTAGAGGTTTCAGATAGTTCAAGAAGGCAATGAACAGAAAAATGGCATAAAGACCAGAAGCAAAATAAAACTGTCATCATTCACAAATGATATCGATAACACACGTTGAAAGCCCTATGAAATATACAAAAAGGCTTTCAAGAATAGATGGATTTAGCAAGGTCACAGGACGTAAAGTGAATAATGAAAAGCAATTGCATTTTCTTAAGTTAGCAATGAGCAACTAGAAAACTAGGAAAAAAACTAAAAAATAGTTTCAAATAGAGAGGGAAGCAAACCATAAGAGACTCTTAAATACAGAGAACGAACTGAGGGTTCACGGGGGGCTGGAGAGAGGGAGAAATGGGTGATGGGCATCGAGGAGGGCACTTGTTGGGATGAGCACTGGGTGTTGTATGTAAGCCATGAATCATGGGAATCTACCCCCAAAACCAAGAGCACACTGTCCACACTGTAGTTAGCCAACTTGACAATAAATTATATATATAAAATGGCATCAAAACCATTAAATGCCTAGGGATAAATGGACTTAGAATAGTCAAAACATTTTTGAAAAAGAACAAAGTTAGAAGATTTATACTACCTGAATCATGAGTTACTATAAAGCTACAATTATTAAAACAGTTTGGTATTGGCAAAAAGATGGGCTTATAGATCTTGTGTTACAAAATAGAGTCCAGAAACAAATCCATACATTATAAAGTGGATTGGTTTTCAACTAGTGCCAAGTTAATCAAATGGAGAAAACAAAATCCCTTTGAACAAATATTATTGAAACAACTACATATTGTGTGGAAATAAAAAGGGACCTTGACCTTTTTCTTTCTGTATACACATAAATTAATTTAAATGGAGCATAGACCTGAATGCAAGTTTCAGAACTATCAGGCTTCTAGAAGAAAATATAGGACAAAATCTTCATGAGTCTGAGCTAAGCAAAGATTTATCATGCAAGATACTAAAAGCACTAACTATGAAAGAAAAACATGACAAACTGAACTTCATCAAAATTCAAATTTTCTGTTCATCAAAAAATAGCTTTAGGAAAATGAACGGGCAAGCCATAAACTGGGAGAAAATATCTGCAGCACATATAGCTGATAAAGGGCTGATGTCCAGAATATATAAAGTTCTCCTATGAATCAACAATAAAAGATGAACGAGCCAATGTAAAATGAACACAAGATTCGAACAGCGAACATCAAGAGCGAGCACGGAAAGGTGTTCGACATCACAGTCATCATAGAAATTCAAACCGGGCCGCAGTGGAATACCTTTCGCACTCACTGGTGTGCAGGGCGTGCCGGTGGCCGTGTGGGGTGCGGCAGCCATGCTGAAAACTCTTTGCAGTTCCCATGTGAGTTAATCACACCTTCCTGTGATGTAGCAGCCCGCTCCCGGGCGTTTACCCAGGAGAGGAGAAAGCACAAGTCTATCAAAATCCTCAGTTGGGTGTACAAAACCGCTCAAACTGGAACCAAAGGGAGCTCGGGAAACGGAGAAGCATGATGTGCCGTGTGCACACACGTAACACTCCTCAGTAGTGACTGACCCCCACACAGCACAGACGCGCCGCGAAACGGCGGCAGCGCGAGAGGCCCGCGCGCTGTGTGACCCACTTACACGGACTCCGGGGACAGGCGACATGACCCCGGAGGGACGGAGACCGGACGCTTGGTCGGAAAGGCGAGGAAGGGAACTGCCCAGGGCGATGAAGGGTGCGCGTACAAGTGTGCAAACACGGGGCTGCGCGCGGAGCAGTGTTTGTCTACATGGCGAGAGGGAAAACGCGTTGGTTCTTTGGCTCCTGCTGCAGCAAGCGCTGCGCGCCCCCCTCCTCGGGCTCAGCTCCGGGCAGGTGTTCCTGGGCGAGACAGACCCCTGGGCCCGGCCCCTGCGGCCTCGGGCAAGGGTTTCGGAACAGGGTTCCCTCGCGTTAACTGGGGGAAGACCCGAGGGGTCTATTTCGCAGATATGTTTAGACGTCCGGAGCCCTGTGTTCAAAAGCGTGTGCCTAGCGGGGCCGCAGACGCCAGGACAGGAATGTGGCCCATGTCCTGATCCAGTGTCCTGACAGAGGCCAGACAGGAGTGACGTCTCTCTCGATCTCGTTTTACATACATTCTCCTAGCCTTTGTTTTTTCATGTTTATTTATTTATTTAGAGAGAGAGAGTGCGTGTGTGAGTGGCGAGGGACAGAATGAGAGAGAGAGAGAATCCCAAGCAGGCTTCTTGCCTTCAGGGCAGAGCCTGACATGAGGCTTGAACTCACAAACCTCAAGATCATGACCTGAGCCAAAATCAGGAGTCAGACACTTAACCGACTGAGCCCCCCGGGGGCTCCCACGTTTTCCTCACCTCTAAATGGCATAAAATCATATAGAAGAAAACACACAAAGCAAAACCGAAGCGCTCCCGGAGCTCCTGAACCGGGCGCAGCAGGTGCTATCGCTGCAGGACTTTGAAGCCCCTTCACTTGGATACATTTCTCCCCACAAATTCCGATTATATCGCACACCCCGTGTCAGGGCCCTTCCGCTTAGCAAACAACAGAAAACACTTCCCGTGCTCTCAAACAACTATTCTGCAACGCGGGTTTTGACTGCAGCGTGGAGTCCTTCGTGGGAAGGCGGGCGGGAGGGGCCGGGGTGCCGCAGGGGTGGGCTTCAGCCCTCACCGGCGGGCGGGGTGGGGTCTGGGCCCAGTGCGCAGTAGGGAGCCCCCTGCGCGGCCCCAGTGGGCCCGGGAGGGAGGAACAGGGTGGGAGGGCCAGGGAAGCGGGCGCGGCTCCCCGCTCCCCAACCCCGCTCCGCAGTGCGCCTTCGGCAGGGAGCGTCCAGTGCAGGGACTGGCGTCGGGCAGGTGGCCGGGCCCAGGCCGCAGGGCGGAGGGGAGGCGCCCGCGGGGGCCCTCCTGTGTGGAGTGAGGCCGCCCTGGCCGCCAGCCGCCCTGTCCCCGTGTGTCCGCACAGCCAGCTCGCCGTCCTGCGGGGGGCCTGGGGGGCCTCTCCCCGTGCGTTGTGTGCGCCCTGGCCTCCCGTCCTGGGCGGGCTGCAGACCCGTTCGCACTCCCTGAATAGAATTCCTGAGCCAGCAGTCCGCTCGGAAGGCCCGCTGGCCATGGGGGGGGGGGGGCGGTCGGGGTGCGGGCGGTGGGCGCCGGGGCAGGACTGCAGGCTGGCGCCCTTCCCCGCGGTCAGGAGGGACCCTCGGGCTCCACCAGGGTCTCTCCTGAGACACTGAGCCTCCCTCTGCAGGCAGTCCCCCCCCCCCGGGGTCCACTTCAGGGCGTGTGTGCGTGGAGTCGGGGAGGCCAGCGGTCTGCCGCCCCCCTGCTCAGGGAAGCCCCGGCCTCACTGGACTTCTCTCAACGGCTGTGCCAGCTGGGCGCCAGCTCCTCGCCCCTGCAGCCTCTGCGTCAGCTCACGGCTGGGCCCTGAGGATCCCCGGGAAGCCGGGGCAGGGGTGGTGGGGTGAGGCCCAGGGTCCCCTGACTTTCTCCAGGACCTCGTGCTCCGGGATGTCCACCTCGGCCGACAGCTGCGTCCTCTGCGGCCCAACTGCCTTCTCGCGAATTGTCTCCGTAATAGTTGCGTCACTGAATTCCTGCAAAGATGCAAGTGCGTCCCACTGAGTGTCCGGAACATGGCAGGTGCTTGCAAAGACTGCTTTCTCTTTTGCCCCTTTGCCGCATACGCGGCGGGTTGGCACGGAAGGCCGTGGGAGCGGAAAGGACGTGGCATGCACGCCCCCAGCAGGCTGGGGGGAATCTGCAGCTCAGGGGGAGGACTGGGGGTGTGTGTGTGCCCAGATTAGAGGGCCCCAGACGATGGGGGACGTGGTGGGCTGCTTCTCAGGGTCCCAGCCGGGGGACCCCCTCCAGCCTGAGGTGGGGACAGGGAACATTTGCCAGCTCCCCCAGGACATGTATCCAGCGGAGCAGGGGCCTGGTGAACTTGGGGGTGTCACGCCCTGAGGACTGGGGAGGGCATGTCACCCCCTGTACCACCTGAAGTTCACTCTTAGCCCCAGTCCGACCAGCCCCCCCAGGGAGAACCTTCTTTCACCATGGGTGTCTGCTGGGTACTTTGCACAAAGACTAGTACACAGTAGGTGCTTACTAAAGTAGGCTCAGAAGCTGGACTTCAGGATTGTTAGCAGGTGTACACAGCCGCTGCCCATGGGAGGGGTCTGGACTGGGCACCGGGTCCCGGGAGGCTGTGCATCGCACCCCCTCATGGCCTCTCTCAGGAGGTGGGTGGGGTTCTCTGCACGGGCACCTGACCTTGCCCCCGGGCCGGGGCGTGTGCAGGGCTCGGGTGGCTCAGGCCCCAGGAGGCCTGCCTTCATGGTCCTGCAGCTCCGGCTGAGGCCCCCCCCCCAGTCAGGGCTCCCAGCTCGCCCTGGGCACCACTCCGTGTACTTTCCCCAGGAGGCGAGGCGGCGGCCTCGGGCAGCGGGGAGGGCAGCTCGGTCTCAGGCTGATGGGAAGCAGCCTTGGAAAAGGCTGTAATTACACCCAAATTGCCCAGGGGCGTGGGGAGTTCGGAGAGGTCGGGTTTGTGCGACTAACGGGCCTGGCCCAGGCCCTCCCCCTCCCGGCCGTTGGCACATTCTGGCAGGAAGTGTTGCACAACGTCCAACCCGGGTCCAAGCACACGGTCGAGTTCGGAAAGGCGGAAAACGGAGGCCGAGCGTCGGTCTCCCAGGAATGAATGTGGGCCGTTGTTTAAAATAAACTGTTTGTTCAGAAAGCCCGCACTTGTCCAAACACAGGGGGGCGGGGGTCCGACAGTGGGAGTCACGGGGGGGGGGTGTCAGAAACTCAAGCCCGCGAGCCCCTCCCGCCTGCGGGTCTGCCCCGGCTGGACCCGGTCGAGGGGCGCGGGCTCTCCAGACACACACTGCTCTCGGCTGCGCCCCCAGTGTTCCTGAAACTCCCCCCACCCCGGAGAGTGTCCCCTGAGTCACCGCACCCGCGGGGCGTCCCGGTGCCCCTGCAGCCCCCCTGGGGGCGGCTCCGGGGAGGCTGGCCTCACAGGTGACCGGCGGCCCAGTGGGGACGGGGGCCTGCCCTCAGACAGGTGGCCGTGGGGACTCGGACTCGGCAGTCGCACGGCCCGGGCCCCGGCGGGCGGCGAGGGGCAGCGCGTGCGGCGGGAGCCCGGGGGAGGGCGGGGGCGTCGGTCCACACGGCGGCCCACGCTCGCTGCGGGACAGGCGGCGGGCGGAGCGGCCCTGGCCCCTCCCGGGCCGTCAGGGGACGCGCGGAGCTACTCCGGGAGGCCTGACGGAGGGACGCGGGTCACGAGGCGGGGGGCGCGGGGGTCTGTGGGGCGCGTAACCCAGGGTGCTCCGCTCCCCGCCAGCCGGACACGGGGCGTCCGCCGGGCCGGTCCCCCCACGCGTCACATGTCTCACACTCGCGTCACGCGCCTCACACACGCATCACACACGTCACACACGCCTCACATGCCTCACTCACCTCACACATGCGTCACACGCCTCACACACGCGTCATGCGCCTCACACGCGTCACACGCGTCACACACGCCTCACTCACCTCACACACGAGTCACACGCGTCACACACGCGTCACTCGCCTCACACGCGTCACACGCGTCACGCGCCTCACACATGCGTCACGCGCCTCACACACGCGTCACACGCCTCACGCGTCACGCGCCTCACACACGCGTCACGCGCCTCACGCGCCTCACGCATGCGCTCCGGCAGCTCAGGAGGGAGGCACGTTGCGGCTCCTGGAACAGCGCCTGGCGAGGCTGCGGCTTGGGGACAAGGCGGCAGGGTGTCCCCTCCACGCTCGCCCGGCCTTGGCTTTGCTCCCCGGCAGGCCTGCTCCTGGGGGGGGGGGTGCCGGCCACCAGGGGCACCAGAGACAAGAGAAAACGCCCCCCGGGTCTTACGGGGGTCTCGCCTGGGGAAGGGCAGGTCCAAAGCCGCAGGAGCGCGGGCGGGAAGTGACGCCGACACCGAGTGGCGGACGTACGCGTGAGTAGCACATCCTGTCTCCGAGCCTCAGTTTCCCCACCTGTGGGGCGCACGCGCGGTCTGACAGTGTCCCGCTGAGCGAGCGCCACAGATGGCGCGGGGTCCCGGGTCCCGGCTCGGCGCGGACAGACGCCTGTCCTGGGCGTGGGGGGCGCTGCCCGGGCGGGGTCCGCGTGGAGAGGGGGGCGGGTGCCCTCACGTGCCCGGAGCCCCCGGCGCCGCACCTCAGATGCGGGAAGGGCGGCTCAGCCCGGGCCCGCGGGCGGCCTGGGGTCGCGCTTCGTCCCGGCCACGCGCACCCCCTGCGGGGCGGCGCCGCCTCCGGAGCCACGCGGGCGTAGCTGCGAGGCTGTGACCGCGTGCGGGGACCTTCCCGCCCGACTCACGAGACGCATTTCCGAGACCTTCTGCCCCATTTCTTCTGTGAAAGAGGGCGGTGAGGAAGGGGCGCGAAAGGAGCCTCACCTCCGTGCCCCATGGGCCTCTCCCGGCCCCCCCGCAGCCTCCTCCGTCCCCCCTCCCGGCCTCCCCCCCCCGCGGCCTCCTCCGCCCCCTCTCCCGGCCCTCCCCCCCGCGGCCTCCGCCCCCAGAGCCGGCCGCTCAGGAACTTCTGAATGTCGGTCCCCACGTCGCGGCCCAACACCAGCTCTTTTTCTTTTTAATTTTTTTTTAACTTTATTGATTTGGGACAAGCACCGGGCGTTACATGTAGGGGATGAAATACTGGATTCTACTCCTGAATTATTGCACTAGATGCTAATGACCGTGGATGTAAATGAAAAAAAAAAAAAAAAAAAAAAAGTTTATTCATTTATTTTAAAAGAGACAGAGAGACTGAGTGAGGGAGGCGCAGAGGGGGAGAGAGAATCCCAAGCAGGCTCTGCACTGCCAGCCCAGAGACGATGTCGACCTTGAACCCACAGAGTGGGATCAGCACTGAGCTGAAATCAAGAGACAGACACTTAACAGACTGAGCCGTGCACGTCCCCCCGGTCCCAGTCCTGTGCTGATTTATGGTCAGTCCCCATTTAAAAAGTGTATTCTGGGGGCTAAGTCACTTAAGCGACCGACTTCGGCTCAGGTCAGGATCTCACGGTTCGTGGGTTCGAGCCCCACGTCAGGCTCTGTGCTGACAGCTCAGAACCTGGAGCTGCTTCAGATTCTGTGTCTCCCTCTCTCTCTGCCCCTCCCCCACTTGTGCTCTGTCTCTCAACAATAAATAAACATTAAAAAAATAATAATAAATAAAAATGTGTTCTGGGGGTTATTATCATTTTTTGAAAGATCTAAAGCCTATAAGCATATGGAAGATCAGAGGGTAGTTTTCACTCTCAGCCGCCGTATCAAAGACGTGCCCTGGGCCGCACTCTCTGTGTTGGCCTCAAATAATAATAATAGGTGAGTGTTCGGTATTGTCAGGCGGATGATGCCCCAGAAAGGCGGCGGCCTGAGGACCTGCCGTGCCCAGGCCAGCTTTGGCTTCTGCTGGTGAGCTCGTGGTGAACTCTCGCCAAGCAAGCAGCTGGGAAGTCTGCAATCTCCCATTTCTGTCCTAGGTTGAGGGCGGATGAACAAAACGGGCCCAGGCTGCCTCACGCTTCTCACTAATATATTTGCAAATGAGAAGAGAATTGGCAAGCAGGGCTCCAATTTGCTCTGCCAATCATCCCGAATTTTCTCTCTGCGTTTCCTATCGAGACAGACAGACAGGTTTTAAATGGTTGAGCAACTTTCGGCTCAATAACGTGCAAAGTAAACTTACCAACCCCGAGGACAGGCAGCGATGCCCGGGAGCGTCTGTGCTTCACTGGAGGAGGCCCCCCAGCCGTTGGACTCACATCCGCGAGTCTGGACGACGACTCCCTGAGTAACACAGACGGAGGTGCACTCTCAGGGCCTGGATGCTGTGCGAGGCCACCCCTCCCCAGCGGACAGCCGAAGCCTCAACAGAGTACAATTCACTGAAATACCGGATTGCGGAAGCAGATGTCAGCTGTGTCTACCAGGAGGGGGTGACGGTGGGGGCGGGTGGGGCGCCCTTTGTGGCCCTGATCCCTGCACTCTTTCCCTCAGCCATCGGGTAGTGTTATTTGTGTAACCACAGACCCTTTGTGCAGCCTGCCTGTATGCCCTCGTTTGTAAAAACAGGATTCTAACGATGCATTGCTTGTGGACAGTCAAGAAAGATCACGGATTTTAGAACACTTGATAGAATTTGCTCCTTGCAAATACACAAATTATAGGTAAGTCACTGCGGTGGAAGGTGGCTGTATCGTGATCGCTGAATATGAGCCTAAGATCTGCGCGACCAGAGCCTCACCAGGGCGCTGACATTGGGAGACCGGCCAAGGAGAGAACGACGTGGGTCCCCGTCAGGCGTCAGAAACCAGTGTGAGGCCAGACCCGTCAGGGCTCAGAAGACACTATAACGGTACAGAGGGCGAGCCCAGGTTCCTATCAGTGAGCAACGGACATTGTAGATCATTCAATAAGTGGTATTGGTATTGGGACAATCACTTATTTATTTTGGGGAAAAAGATCCCAACTCATCGCCTTTGCAAAAATAATTTTCAGGCAAGGAACCGAATGTTACAAAAAATTCTAAAACTAATGACTGAAAATGAATGACAGGCTATTTCAGTTTTCTGGAGGTAGAAGTCCTCTCTCTCTCTCTCTCTCTCTCTCTCTCTCTTTTATGCTATGTTGTGATCTGAATTTTAATGATGGAGGAACCAAGCCTTGAGGAAGTTAAATTTTTTATTTTATTTTATTATTTTATTTCACTTCACTATTTTATTTTGTATTATTTTACTTTACTATTTTATTTTCCCTTACTTTAAATTATTTTACTATTTTATTATTTTTAATAAATAATATTTAATAAATAAATTTCCGGTATAGTTAATGGGCTGTGTTATATTAGTAGAAAGTCCTTCTTAAGCAAGACCCCCAAAAGAAATGAAAGACTGATAAATGACCACAAAAAATTTTGGGGTGCTTAAACCTTTCCCATTAGACTTTCACTGACTTACTATCAACACGCAGAAGAGGGCCCAAAGTCGTGACTGGTACCATGAGGCTGTGCCCGAGCCATCCCGGTGTCCGTGGTGACACACGTGGAGTGTCGGGCTCCTATGCAGGCCGCAAGAAACGCAGTCACCTGGCGGGGGTGGTGGTACTGCGCAGCTGCCAGTGTCGGCGTGTGAGTCGCCGCCTTGACCTTCCCAGCGTGTCCCCGCCTGGGCACTGCCACCATGCCAGTCTCCGTCAGTTGCAGGGAGGGAGGCGGACGCTCGCTTGTTTGAAGCCGAGGTTTGTTGCACAGCAACACGTACGGGAATCACCCCTTCCCCGCGGCCGCGCAGAACCAGAGCGGTGGCTCGTTTCTGGGACCCTGTCTCCGGTCCTCGTGGCTGAGCTCCCACCGATGCCACAGAATGAGGCACCTGAACACCATTTCCTGTCTTCCGTGCAGAGTTCTTACACATATTACTTCTATTCCTTTTGCATTTCCTGAACACAAAATTATCTCGTCTAAATAAGTGAGTTTTATTTCTTACTTTCCCACCCTCCTGGTTGCTCTTATAGACCAGGCCAGGCTTGCGGGGACCGTATTGAATGGAAGGGACAATAACAAATATCTTCATCATATTCCCAGTCTCCGAGGGAACGTTTTCATATTTCACCATGATGTATGATATCTGGGTTAATATTTTTCTTTTATTTCCGTTGAGGTACATACCTTCCATCAGATTATGGACATCCCCTTTCATTTCTAGTTTGCTAAGACTTTTTAAACCATAAATTTTTTGAATTTATTAAATCCTTTTCTTTGCATTTTTGATATAATCCTATGTCTTTTTTTCCTTCATTCTCTTAATTTTTTAAAAATGTTTATTTATTTTTGAGAGAGACAGAGACAGAGCATGAGCGGGGGAAGGATAGAGAGAGAGAGGGAGACACAGAATCTGAAACAGGCTCTAGGCTCTGAGCTGTAAGCACAGAACCTGATGCAGGACTCAGGAACAGTGAGATCATGACCTGAGCCTAAGTCAGATGCTTAACCGACTGAGCTCCCGTGTGCCATTCCTTCATTCAGCCTATTGCTGAAACATTGATTGATTTTCAAATGTTAGGTCAATCTGGAGTTCCCGCTGTAAACCAAATTTGGTTGCTCTGTATTTTTCTTTTTTTATATCATTGGATTCAATTTGCCTTTTTTTCCCTTCTATTTTTTGGGGGAGTTTGGCCTGTAATTTTCTCTTTTGTAGTATCCTATTTTGCAACAATTTTGCTGGCCTCATAAATCAGGTTGGGAAGCTTTCTTTTTCTATGGAAGGGTTATGTTACCATTTAGTGTTTAAATGTTTGCTGGAATCCCCCAGTAAAGTCACCAGGGCCTGGAGCTTTCCTTGCAGGAATTTTTAAAATTATAAATGCAATTTCTTTATTAGATATACTGCACAAGCTAGAAATGACTCTTTGTGATATCTGACATGATGAAAACAACACTATCTGAGTGCTGTAAAACTAAATAGGGATATTGCTGTTTTCTTAAAAGATATGTTGAGAGGTAAAAATTTGGAAACAACTTAAATTTACAGGATGTAGAATGATCCCAATATGTATTTGTTAAATCAAGTGATTTCAAGAGCAGTGTGTATAGTTTGAATCTACATACAGCACATGAATTAAAAAAAAAAGAAATAAGATTTATTTTCTAAACTTGCAGTATCTGTGTGAACACATGTAAAAATGTGTCATGACTCACAGCAAACATGCGAGGGTGACCTCAGTGGAGGAACGAACCAGCACGGCAGGCTGTGTGATGGTAGCTCTTCTTCTAGGTAAGGAAACAAATTTGTATGTAACTTGTACAACAGACAGCTTGCTGTGGGCATCGAGGATGGACATCCCTGCAGCTGAGCTGTGGTCTAGGGCAGCGGGCAACCCCGTGACCCTGCCTCCCAGGACCAGGGTCTTCCCTCTGTTGGGCGGGGCTCCTGCCCCCGTCATCCCCCTTCCCCGCCCCCGCCAGCCCAGGCTGACCGGGTCCCTGTGGCCAGAAGGCGGTGTAAGGGGTATCGTGCCACCGGGACCAAATCTGCAAGGACACCGGTTCACTTCAGGCACAAAACCTGCCTGAAAACAGGACACCATTCAGTTCGCTTAAACCCCACAGGCAAGCTGCCCTCTAGCAGCGGGGGGCCGTGGTGAGCTCTCTTGTTTTTGAAAGATTTTCACTCATTTTAGTTCTTTGCCCTTGTGTTAGAAAAGAATCCTTCTGGGTCGGCAATAATGTTTCTCTTTTCCACTTTGCGAATCTGCCCACGGGCCTGAGGTGCAAGCCTTTGGGATCCTGAGCCCCCAGGAGATGAAAAGGCCGTGTCCGCAACCCTAGGGGGTTTGGAAAGGGAATCT